ATCTATCTATCTATCTATCTATCTATCTATCTATCTATCTATCTATCTATCTATCTATCTATCTATGGTCTCATGTTGTGTAGTACAGGCTAGTCTGCAATTTACTATGTTGCACAGGATGACCTCAAACTTGGGATACACTTACCATATCAACCTCCCAAGTGCTGAGATTACTACCTAAGCCACCACCTAGTTTCCATTTTATTTTTATTTTTTTTAAAAAAGTTGTTTTTCTGAGGCAGGGTCTCATGTCACCCATGCTGACCTCTAGTTTATGTATCATAGGATGACTCTGAACTCCTGATCCTTTGCCTCCACCTCTGGAGTGCTGAAACTATTAGTGTGAGTCATTATATCCTGCTTCCATTCTACTTTTAAATGAACAAAAATATTTTATGTGTATGGGCATTTTGCCTGCATGCGTGTCTGCACCATGTGCATGCCTGGTGCCTGAGGAAGCCAGACATGTGCACTGGGTCCAACTGGAACTGGAGTTAGAGTTGTGAACTGCCCCTGGAAGAGCAGCAAGTTCTCTTAATCCCTGATCCATCTCTCCAGTCCTCTAACCCCGCTTTATTTTAAAATTTGCATGTACTCATTTGGTTCTATTTATATCTCACTTGTCTATAGGTATGATGTGTGTCCATATACGTATTTGGATGTGTGTAAGTGCTGGTGAATTGTGTAGAGATCACAGAACAAGCTTGGGTGTTAGTCCTAACCTTTCACCTTGTTTGAAATAGGAGCTCTTGTATGCCTCTCTACTTATGCCAGGCTAGCCGGCCTGTGAGCTTTGAGTTTGCAGGATTCTCTTGTTGTTTAGACAGGGTTTCACTATGTAGACCAGTCTGACCTGAATTTATAGAGCTCTGACTGCCTCTGTCTCCTAGGTGCTGGACTTAAAGGCCTGTGCTACCATCCTCAGCATTTTAGGTAATTCTGTTTCCACCTAAGTGCAAGGGGATTGCAGACTTGAACTACTCTGCATCCAGTGTGGGTGCTAGGATCCAAACTCAGAGCCTTTTACTTATACGGCAAGCACTTTTCCCATTGAAACTGTGTTTATTTGTTTTTCTTTTTGTTGTTGTTGTTGTTGTTGTTTTTCAAGACAAGGTTTCTTTGTGTAGCCCTGGCTGTCCTGGAACTCACTCTGTAGACAAGGCTGGCCTTGAACTCACAGAGATCCACCTACCCCGCCCCCCCCCCACTCGCTAGTGCTGGGAGGTGTGCGTCACCACCATCTGGCTATTTGTATTTTTTTAAACTTTTATTCTTCTCTCATACATCATGCCCGCAGTTTCCCTTCCCTCCACTCCTCCCAGTCCTTTCCTCCACATCCCCTCTCTCCCAGATCAACCCCTCCTCTGTTTCTGATACAGTAGACTGGGCACAAGCCCTCATATCATAAATGTGGCAACCCAGCATCTTTTAGAGATGAGGTCTCTATGTTAGGCTGGTTTTGAGTTCAAGGATTCAAGTGATCCTCCTTCAAGTAGCTAGAACTACAGATGCATATGGTGTGTCTAGTGAGGTCAGTGTTTTCAAGAAGGCCACCGCCCTCTTGTCACTTTCAGGCTGTGGTGGACTTCCATAAAGGGGCAGTGGGCCTCTTGGTTAGGGTATAGTAGTGTGCATGCTATGAAGCCATAGATGCTGGGGCTGGGGGTGAGCAGGGGCTGAATTGGGATCCCCTAGCATCCAACTGTGAATTTGGAAGAGTCAACTGCATCTTCTTGACCTCAGTGTCCTCATTTGTTTGTTCGGATGACAGTGGTGGCTCCCTGCATTGTAGTATGGGAATGGAGTGAGTTCACATTGGCCAAGTGCCTGGGACTGGGCGTGTGAAGTGTGTACTCACACAGGACCTACGGTATTCAGTGTTCTGAGGTTATCTTGAAATTTGAGTGTAGGGCCCTCCATTTTGTTTTCGCAGTGCCCCCTCTGCGTTTTGCCACTGGTGCATTGGGGTTACTGTCTGCCTTCTATGTGTGGCTATTTACTATTGCTGTGAAAAGGCAGAACAAGATGTTTTGAGGTCACAAGGTTAGAGGGTCAGTAAGCATATTGAGGAGGTGGCAATGGCCTGTACAGGCTGGGGCTTGCATGTGAGAAGAGGTCACTTGGTCCTTAAGGGCCCCCACCAGTTGAAGTCTTCTGCCTTTGGCCTTGGGGTACTCACCATAGCTGGAGCCTTTGACAGTGCCATCTTCCCGGCTAGGTGGGCCTGCATAGCACCCAGCTTCTCCTTTTCCAGCTCCAGCTGTGGGGATGTACACCAAAGTGAGGCCTCTACCTGGTCTTTCTTAGTCACCTCCTTGACTGCGCTAGGGCCTACCCTTGGAGGGCCCTCCCTCCCTTCCTTCCTCCCTCCCTCAAGCCCTCCTTTCCCCTTAGCCACACCCTGCAGGCATTACCTGCTGCTCCAGGGACTGCACCACTTCCCTCTGGAGGAGGCACTGCGCCTTGCCCTTCTCATCCAGGAGGTGATCTGCTTGACAGTGCCTGAGCAAGGAGAAGGTTCCGTGACCATGGTGGGTCAGGCCTCCTGGCTTGCTGTACCAACTAGACCCTTTACGAGATTTCTCCTTAGAGTCTCAGTTTCCCTGCATTCAGCAACACCCCTGTCCGTCTCTTTCTCCCACATGAACTATTATTAAACATCCACTCTTCGGCAACTACTGGCTTTCCAGCCTGAGCTATTAGAAAGGCACCTAGAGGGAGGAGGGCATTTCAGGTGGTGGGCACAGCCTACGCAAAGGCCTGGCCATGCACGACGTGCATCATTGCCAAGAGCTAGGTATGATTAGTGAAATACAGAAGGGGAAGGGGGCAGATATAAAGGCGAGGGGAAACAGCCACAGTTGTCGGGAGGAGCAGAAATTTGAGGCTCAGTAATGTGCGTTGCATGAGGGGAAGCAAGACAAAGCAGTTAGGTGTGTGAGTTCTGGAGCCTGGCTGCCTGGGTTCATATCCAACATTCATCACACAGGGCCTTTGTTAGCTTAATTGACACTTAATTCTGGTTGGCCTTAGTTCCTTTGCGTATAAAATGGAGATAACTATCAGCATATACCTTTAGTATTATGTCTCATTCAAGTGAGGCAACCTGGGCCTAGAGAAGCCCAGTGACTTGCCCACAATCACAGAACCTGGGGGATGAAGTCTCAACCTTTACTACTTTGCATCCATCAGGAGGATTCTGAGTTGAGACATGCGCCGCAGACCTCTGTTCAGATACCAGAAGCCCATGGTTAGTCAGCCTACTCACTTGAGAAACTCTTCTGGCTCCTCAAAGACCTTCTCACAACCAGGCCACTTGCAGACTCCGTTGGCCAGCAGTGGATAGGATCCTTGCGGTGCAGCCAAGAGGTTGCTGGGGGTGGGGGAATACAGGATATCAGCAGAGGGGTGGACAGAGAGAGCGGGGTTCTTCCCAGCACTGGCAACTTACTTATCTTTCCTGGGTGTCCCCGAGCGTGGGAAGGTGCAGAGTAGAGCTGGTTCCCTGGATACCCACTCCAGACTGGCTACATTGATCCCTGTGGGTAGAGACGGGGTACTGCTGGGGCCGGAGGCTAGGTTCTATAGCTGGTCCCAGAAGGCCTCTACCTTCCTGGGCCATTGGAGACTAACTCACAGGACTCTGCTGTTCCCACAGAGCAGAATTTCTGGCCGAGCAGCCTAAAGATGGCCATTGGTAAGTAATGACGTATTTACTAATGGCAGTCACTTGTGCTTGTTGGCATTCTATGTCTTCAAGGTTCTAAGCCTGACAGTTTTTGGAGGTTGAAGTTTTCATGACTCTTAAGATCCCTCTAGGCTGGAGAGACGGCTCAGTGGTTAAGAGCACTGACCGCTCTTCTGGGGGACCCAGGTTCAATTCCCAGCACCCACATGACAGCTCACAACTGTCTGTAACTCCAGGATCCAACACACTCACACAGACATATATACAGGCAAAACACCAATAAAATAAAAAAAATTGCTAGGCAGTGTTGGTGCATGCCTTTAATCCTAGCACTTAGGAGGCAGAGGCAGGTGGATCTCAGTGAGTTTGAGGCCAGCCTGCCTGGTCTACAAAGCGAGTTCCAGGAGAGCCAGGGCTGTTATACAAGGATACCCTGTCTTGAGAAACCAAAAAAAAAAAAAAAAAAAAAGACCCCCCCCAGACCTCCATAGGGCTGTAATTCAGAAAACTTTACATTATGTATGTTCAAAGATTCTGTGAAGCCATGGGGAGAAAGCTGAGATGTTTACCAGGTGGAAAGCCAGGCCGGGCCTTGAGGGAGAAGACCCCAGTGGCAGCAGAAGGTGGTGGGAGGCTGATCATGGCTGGGTTGTCCAGTGGGCGCACTTGTAGTACAGGGGTCTGGGCATGCGCATCCACAGTGGAGAGCTGAGGAACACATATGGACCATGGCTCAGCCTGGCTTGAGCCTCACAGTTTTCCTGTTTATTCCCTCTTCCCAGCCTGCTCAGGTTTCGTACCTGATGCATGAAGTGTGGTCTGTCTTGGAGAAGTGCCTGCAAGTGGGGTGAGGGGCCCAGTCGGGCCCCAGAGGGTGCCACCATGACGAGGGGTACTGTAGGCAGCTGGAAGGAGAAGACAGATGCCGTAAGATGCTAGCCCCATTTTCACAGTTCTGTGTCTCATTCATCAGCTCTTCACTGAAGTTCCACGTGGTAGGAACTGTTAACTTATCCAGTTCATAAATGTGGAATCGGAGGCTCATGGAGACATTATTCACCAATGTCCAACAGTTAAAAGTTGTACAGTTGCCCCAACACTGTCACCTTACCTTACTTTACCTTACCTGTCTGGGCTTCAGCCATCTCCTCTTGTCACAGCAAAATGAGGACACAGGGCTATGCCCATGGGGTCATAACAAAGTCTCCTTTTGGGACAAGGTTTGGGAGGGTGGGGGAAGCCTAGAATCTCTGAGGCCTGGGGGAATGGGGATTTTCTTGGCCCTACAACATCTGCATAAGTCAGATTTGCCTGGGACCCATAAACCACTTCCTGGGCCCCAGCCAGCGCCCCTCCTGCCACATGCCACAGTAAAGGTCGGCACCTATAGGCCCAGGTACCCCACCCTGCTTGCCCCATTCTGGGCCCCAGGCCTCACCTGCAGCTGTGACGGTGGCAGAGGGTTCAAGGAAGAAGCGTGGGCCCCACCTCTCAGGTCCCGGCCTTGGAAGGTTCCCCCAGGACCCCTGGTCCCTAGGAGTTCTGAGCCCTTGGGTGCAGTCTTCCAGTTTGGCAAGACTCCTGGGGATGGACCAAGGGCCAAGGAAGGGGCCACGGGCTTGGCTGGCCTGGGGTTGGGCATTGGATTCTTTTCAGAGGCAGGCTGCAGGGACAACAGTGGAATGGAGTCACGTGCGTTCCAGGGATGATGTAAGATATTCATCCACTTGAACCATACAGATAGCCGCTGATCCAAGCAGGTGTTGGCTAGGTTATGCCCCAAAGGGCCCCATAACTATACCCCAAGCCATTACACACATACATCTACCCTGATATATGTGTGTATGTGTATAAAACACAGATATATGTATATATCCCCCACATGTACATGTCCAGGACCTGACTTGCCTGCATACACCACACAACCCTGTTGTGAATGTGGGGCAATGAGGATTTGGTTTGTGGGGCCTCAGCTTTCCAGTAGCCCATGCATTCTGCACAGGCCACAGTCTCTGCCGATTCTGCTGGGGCTCGTCTTAGATTCTCTTCTCATTATTTTATTCCAGTGACTTGGGCATGAGCTCAAAAAATTCAGCTGGATGCCACGAGAGGGAAGGTTCCAGGGAGCTAGCGGTACTAGTGAGAAGTCTACTGCAATAGTTTCGGCAAGTTGCTGCTGCTGCTGCCAGCCTGGATAGTAGCAGAGGAGCTGGTAGGAAGTGGCTGGATACTCAGTCTCTTTTGAAGACAGCCAGGAAAAAGTTGCTGGAAGCTTGGATGTCGGAGATGAGAGAAAGCATCAAGATGACGTCTAGGGTTTGGCATTAGCAGCTGTCACACAGTGGGCATTACAAGAGATGGAGGATGGAGGAGCAGGGCTTGCAGTGATGTTAGTCAGATGTGGCTAGGCGCAAAGGTAAGCATTTGATGCATGGGCAAACATGCGGATAGGTAACTGAATTCAAGACTGCAGAGCGCAGGGTCACAGCGGGGGTTAGCTAGTCCTCTCTGGGCTTTTGTCCTGCATGGAGTTAGCATGGCAGGTGCCAGAAAAAAAGAAGGATTTCTTGATCCAGGGCCCTTGGGAGCTCCCCAAATTAGCCACATCCCTACTTGCCCCAATCTCTGCTCCTCAAGCTTGGAATTCCTACACCATCACTTTTCCCCTTAGCCATACCTCAGTCTTCTGTGTTTTCCTCAAACCCTGCATGGTGACCCAGGCCCCGCTGGTGAGCCCCAGTAACTTACAGCCCGTGAGGGGCGTGGCTTTTGTTTTTCAGGATCTTACAGTTCTAGTCAGAGAGGCAACCAGATCTTCAAATGACTATATAATTCTACCCCCTTTTAATTAAAGGGATACTCAGGTTCATAATTCTTAGTCTTTCCATAGCCTGGGATCTCTTTTTCTTTCTAGACAGGGTCTAATGTAGACTGGACTGGCCTGGAACTCACTATTTAGCCAGATTGCCCTTGAACTGTTTGCCTTTGTTTCTAATTACTGGAATTACAAGTCACCATCCAGGCTGATGTCTCCACACCTTTCTCTAGGAAGTATGTATCCATGTCTACAGTGCACAGACTCCCAGTTCTATATATCTACGCATGTGTGTATGCCATCCTCTTGTCTACTGTACTACATAGGTTGGGTATACAGCTTCTGAAAACAGCCAGGGGAGCACAGAAGTGTTCTGGAAGGCAATTGCTTCTTTGCTATCATGTTATGGGGATCATCAGAACTGTGGTCCTGGAAGAGATTGGTTTGAGCGGAGGTATTAAAATTGTAGTGTCTCATGGATTAAAATAGTATGAGAACCAGGAATCTGTGGAGGCTGAGAACACAGGCTTCATAGAACAGTGAGGAGAAGAGGACCTGAAAGACCAAAGGAAGGCAGGCAGCCATGAGGTGATACTTCTCCAAGAAAAAGAGCAGTAAAGAAACAACCAGCCTGGGAGAAGGCCAGGAAGAGATGCCAGAAGGAGTCAACCCTGCTGACGTCTTGACCTTGGCCTTCTAGCCTCAGAACTGTGCCACGATAAACTATGCTGTATAAGTCACCCAGTTTGTGATACTTCTTCACAGCAGTCCGAGCAAATGTGTATTAAGTTCCGTGAGTAGAATTTTCCACCATAGTGGCTTAGCCCTCATGGGTGGACCATGGTCACTTTTTAAGTAGTATGGATATTTGGCCAGAACTTATAAGAAATCTCCTCCCTAAACATGTCTGGAACTGGTATGACTCTGGGAAACATCAGCACATTCTCAGAAAGGGCACTTAAATTGGATATGGTCTGTCTAGTGGTAGTAGGGACCTGGAGGGCTGGGCTGGCCAGCCAGCTTCCTGCACTGTCTGTTGGGGCGTCCCTTTTTGACTTTCTCAGAAGCTGCATGGAGGTTGTTTCTGGGACATAGAATGTGTTTTCCTATCGGGGTCTACATCTGGGCCCTGTTGTCACAACCCCGACTTGGCCAGACTTTTCTGTCATTGACGTCATGGCGGCCGGATGCACCGGGCTTCATCGGCAACAAAGAGGAAGAGAAGGGGGCAGACAACCCACCCCACGGGTTTCGTTCCGAGAACTGACTGATCCATCCTGTAGCCGGATAGGCCCAGGGTGGGTGCTAGCGGATGTGGTAGGTGACGTCCATCTGGCCACCATGTAAACCCCAAGTTCTGTGGATCCTGTATTTCTTGGATGTCAGAGGGGCCCAAGGTTGAACACTTGGTGAGTGTTAGGCAGGCCTCATGGTTATTGGGACCCGTTGGGTCTTCAAATGGCATAGTAACTGAAACTTAGAACCATGGGATCTCATTTCTTAGATCTCATTTCTTAGATTTCAGGATGGTAGAAACACAGACTTTGTAGGGTGCCTGGATTCACCTCCTCACCATGTGGACCATTCTGAGTCCAAAGAAATGGGAACCTTGTAAAGGCCAGGAAGCCCAAAACTCTATAAGGCCTTTTGCTGTGCCTGGGATGTCAACAAGTTCTCCTCAGCTTCCTTCCCGATAAAGGAAGAGGATTAGAAGGGCCGTCTTCTGTCCTGATCTGCAGGCCAGGCTTTGTCCTCCTTTCTAATGTGGGACAGTAACAGGAGCCATCTCCCAAAGTTAGTACATATAAAATGCTGAGCAAAATGTCTGACTGGTAAATGGACACTTACATATGACTCCAGCCCCCCTATCCTGGGACAATGTTTCCCAAATCATAACATTCTACAACAGATGGGAACAAGAGGAAGACATTTGGCCTGGGATTCATGGAAAGAGTACACCACCAGGCTCTTTGGCAAAACCTCAGAATAGTGGTCCCCAGGACCCAGCACCAACTCTGAGGACACAGTGCTCCTGATACTTTTCCATCATTACTAGTCTCTGGTCAGCTAGGGTTTCCGACTGACTCACGGGCCCAGGGTTTGTGAGGCTTGGGCCCATGCCATGATTATGGACCATCTTGCTCAAATCTGACTCCAATTTGTGAGAAGGCAGAAGAGGGACTGGCATTTCAGGTTTCCTGATAACTGCTTCCTAGGTACTGAGGGATAAACTGAGGCCACAGTGGGGGATGGCCAGAGGCAAGGCCCCACTGAGAATTCTGAGATCAGAGCTTGTGTTTAAGTGACATAACACCTCTGTGAGGCCTGGGAAGAATATGGGATGGAGGAAGGCCAGGGTCTTTCTGGCCTGTGTCTAGGGTAAATCATACATAATACACACATCCATCCATTGTGTGTGTACACGTGCACATGTGTGTATGAATAAAGACATGGGGAAACAGACATGGAGGAAGAGATATAGAGATATAGAGAGAGATAGAGACGGAGATATGAGATGGAACAGAACTAGATCACAGAGAGACAATGAGAGCTATTTAGAGAAACAGTGACAGAGAAATAAGGAGAAAAAGAGTGAAAGGGACAGAGATAGATAGAGAGGGGATTGACCCAAATAATCATTGGCCTCTGGCTGGAGGACTAATGCCCCTAGGTGCCAGAGACATCCATGGCTGGTATTGAATTGTTTTGCAAAGCAACATCAGAAAAATAGTATTGCCCTTGTACAACAGATAGTAAGGATCAAAGCAGAGTTAAAAGCTTTGGCATAGATCTGCATAGAGACGATGGGATTTGTGATGAATGTAACATTTCGATGAGGAATAGTGCAGGCTAGATTACTAAATGCTTCTGAGACAATCAGGAGAACATCAAGTGACTGGGTTGAATGATCAGACTACTTTCCCACCAGTACCTTTCTGCCCACTTGAAATGGGCAGAAATCACCTGCTCTAGAATAATTTCCAGACCCACTGAAGACAACCGTTTTAATGTCTGTCATTGTGTATTCCATCTTGTGCTAAGCACCTACCATGATTAATAGCCACAATCCTCAGAAAGCTCCTCTGAGGTAGGTATTATTATACCCCCCACAGTGCATACAAGGAAATGGAGGGACAGAGAGGTTAAGTGCTGGTTCACATTCACACAGATGACTTGAGCTGAGGCTACATTGTTCCAGACAGTCTGGCTCCAGTACCCACACTTGTGAAAATGGAAAAAATGAAGCCATAAAGGAGACTGGAAGCCAGTATGGGGTGAACTGTTATCTTATTTTCAAGTGACAAAAAGACTTTTAAACACAAAACCATAGACAGAAGCCACATGAGAAAAGAGTAATCTGAATATATAAAACACATGTGCATTACAAAGCACAATACATAGAAAAAAAATGATAGTCAGGTAAGGTGGCCCGTGTCTTTAATCCCAGCACTTGGGAGGCAGAGGCAGATGGATGGATCTCTGTGAGTGTGAGGTCAGCCTGGTCTACACAGTGAGTTCTAGGCCAGCCAGGGCTATAGAGTGAGACCCTCTTTCAAAACAAAAACAACACAAAAGCACACAAATGGAGCTGGAGAGATGGCTCAGTGGTTAAGAGCACTGAATGCTCTTCCAGAGGTGGCTTCAATTCCCAGCACCACGTGGCAACTCACAACTATCTGTAACTCTAGTCCCATGGGATCCCACACCCTATTCTGGCCTCTATGGGCACCATATGGTGCACATACAGGCAATACAGGCATACCCATAAAATAAGTAAGTAAAATACACATATCCACAAATGATGAATTTGGAGCAAATGTTTGCCTTAACATATAGCCAATAGAAAGTTATTGTCCTTTCCAAATTAAGATCTGTAGAAAAAAAATCTTGTTACTCTATTAGAAGTGGGAACATACTCATACAACTCTTCTCCACAAAGCACAAATGGCTAATAGTCATTAAAAGTCACCAAAGAGTGCAAAATTCAACAATATAGCAATTTTTACTTATGATGGTAAAGGATTAAAAATGGTAACAGCCACTTAAGATTAGCTCGCATAGAAACAATAGAAAACAAGGCAACACTTTGGAAAAGCAATTCGCAGAGAGAACAACAACAAAAAGCCTTAAAAATGCACAGCCTTCTTCCCCAGCTACTCCATCTTCAGGGTCCAAGGGGTCTGTTGTGCATCTTCACAACAGAAATCTGAATGTCCAACCATCAGCACTTAATTCAGAGTGTGATGTGAGGACAGTCAGGGCAGACATAAAAAATCACGTGCTCATTTTTTAAAGTATGCTACAAAAATGGTATTGATTGAATAAAGCAGGAACAAACCCCAAGTACAGCATGATTCTAATTTGTTTAAAAATACTAACAGCTCACAGTGAGAACTTACCATATACCAGTCACAGGGCCGCACGACTAAGACTGGAGACACGAGATCACCCTAGTCCTGAACTGTCTGTCCTCCACGGACATGGACTCTGGTCACAGTCACATGTCCTTTACTAAACCATGGTTGACCATGCTGTGAAGCACCTTTCTCGAGGGTGTCCTCTTATGTGACACAAGCAAAAGAGCAATCACATGCTAAGACCAACCTGCCTGCTCACAATCCTCCTCCTCCTAGGACAAACAGACCTGACACCCACTTTTGGAAAATGGAGCCCTCGAGCCATTATTAGTAAGTGCCGGTGGTGTATACACATCTCTGTGCTGGATGCTGGCTGGAAAAGCAGGTAAAGAAAAGTGAGCCGAGAGAGAGAGAGAGAGAGAGAGAGAGAGAGAGAGAGAGAGAGAGAGAGGGAAAGAAGTGGGATACAGCTGCTGAGGATGGAAGGGGCAGAGGAATATAGGCAGAGCCTCAGAAAGACATGGGCAGGGAGTGGGCATTCAAGGGAGAAAGACAGGGACAGACAAGGAAACTTAGTGAGACAGGAAAAGAAGTGGGGGCATTAAGAGGAAAGAAACGAGATGCAGTTCAAGGTTCCAGTTCCAGCTGGACAACATTTTGAGTTGCCCAAAGCTTTGGCATCCATAGAGACCGGCGGTTGATTAGCATCTTTAAAAAATCCTGTCCATCTGTGTATCAAACAGTTTTCTTCTTTTTGCCCCCATCTAAGGACTGACTGTTCCACCTCTCTGGCACTTCAGATAAATAGCATTAGTTTCAAAAGTCCTTACCTGGAGTTCACAGTGGCTGGGTGTTCCCAGCTGCTATCTCCCTGCTACTTTCTCCAGCAGAGCTGAGCCTGGTGGGGGAGAGCAGGGACACTCACCTTGGTGCAATGGACTGACAGAGAAGGATCAGTCTGGCTTGTGGGAAACTGCCACATTATCAAAAACAACTTTGCTTTTATACCGAGAAGAAAAACCACGGCGTGGAAGCCGCAGACCTCTCTCTTCTAATAATTCAATTTTTTTGATGAGTGTGTGTGCTGATAATCACAGGGTGGGGGGGGGTTCTCATAGTTTTTTTTTTCTCTCTCTCTCGCTTTGTTTATTCTTTTCTTATGAGACTTAAACGGAAATTTTGAAATTTTGGGTTTTTTCTTTGCCCTTTACAAGTCATCTGAAAATATGATTTCTTCCCCTCACGACAGAGGTAAAAGGTATCAATGAGATAACAGGGCTCATGAGAAACCACAATTTCTTAAACAAAAGTGTGTAGAGTCAGAAAAAAAAAGGGAAAATAACTCAAAACCCAAAGGCATCCTGAGATAGGTAGAGACACCATTCTGTGCACGGGAGGATGCTTGAGGACCACTGGGTTGAAAAGAAGACGGGATCTGAAGCCCAGCGTTTGGATGGGAAACACCAAAGAAAGAGATGGACTAGTGCTTTGTTTCCACAGGTTTTGCTCTGCCTCAGGCCTCGGTTTTTCCTCAGGTAGAATGAATATGAATGGTCCCCATCTTTCATGTCACCAAAGGTTGGGAGATCTGGACACCTATGTAGCCTTTCTTCCCATAGAAGACAGGAGGTGTGCGATGCAGTTCATGGAGAAAGTGGGGTGTACTCCTACCACAAATTCACAGAATCAACAAGTCTCAGAATCACTGGCTCCTAGAATCTGCTTAGAGTCTCCCCGTGAGGAGGAAAGGATCTCTGCATGATGTTTATGCGTGAGTGCTCTGACCCACCAGCCACCCACCTGCGAACAGCCCCAACGGCCCCATACTAATGCATCCAACTTCACAACAAAGGGCTAGGGGAAGAAAGTCGGTGGCAGAGGGCTTGTTTTACTTGAACAAGGCATCTGGTTCCATCCTCAGTATCACAAAAATGAGATTAAGAAGAAAAAGTCATATACAAGGCAGCCCAGGGTTCCCGTCCTGTCAGGAACAATATATGCATAGCCTGAGGATTCTGAACCGCCCCCCCCCCCCAGCCTTGTTGACATTCTCCTTTGAAAAGCTCCAGTTTCACCCAGCATAGTAACACACGCCAGTAATCCCAGCACCCAGGAGGCTAAAGCAGAAAGATCAAGAGTTTAAGGCTGCCTGGGGCCATAAAGCCAGATTCTGTCTCAAAAACCTAAACAAGAAAAGCAAAGCAAAGCTACAGTTTGCAAAGGTTTAGGATTCTAAGTAACTGTCATACTTTTGGTAGTCAACATTTATGTAAATTTTCCGCATTCCAGCCACAGAGCCCAACATTTCCCCAAACAATCCTCTCCCTTTGGGGTCCATTTCATCATTACTGTATTGCTATTATACTGAGAAGGAAAATGGAGGTGCAACTTGCCCAGGATCACAAAGATGGAAAATAGGGGTCCTTAGCATTGGGTTCTGAAGTGCCCAGTTTTCCTGAAGCCAACAGTGTCGGGTTTAATTTCTAGGATTCGGTGGCAGGGAAGTTCTGGGATTTGGAGACTTCTGGAGCTTGATGCTTGTGAGCATTTAAGGTTTTTATACAAGGCTTTGGCAGCTGCATTTCCTCATTTTGGCACAGATCTGCTCCTTCCAACCACGGCTTAAGACAGAGCAGCCTCCTGACAAGGCGCGGTCAAGGTCAAGAATTCCAGCTTTTGATGCCCCGGCACCCTGCAGAGCTTAGAGTTCCTGCTGTCCAGCTGCACGCCCACCGCGACCTCTTTGCAAGACTGGCCTCAGGCCTGAGGGAGAGAAAGTAGAAATATGTTTTTATTCACATACTAATCTAGTGGCCAATACCCACCCCCTTTACCGTTTCCTTTCTTTGCCCCTTTTTTCCTTATCCCATATCTTCTAAGGTCCACACCCCCCGACACACACACACAAAGAGAGTGACTTTTCTCAACCTACCTCACCTTTCTAGAAAAGACAAGTGTGGAGCTGATGGCCTGGCTTTGTAAAGACAAGAGGGGAAAAAAGCGAATAGAAAAAAAAAGACCTAAAAATATCAGCCAACAACAATAACAACCATTGAAAAAAAAAACCCTCAACCCTCCCTACCATTATCTCAAAGCAAAACTTTGACTGGTTGGGGCTTCTAGGTTGGTGGGACATATCTAACACCAAACATGGCCTGTGTGGTGGTTGGAAGCCAAGGGAGGTACCGAGGTGAGAGGGAGGTACAGAGGTGGGATGAAGTCCTCTTTCTTACTCTGGAGGTCTGCAGAGATCCTAGGAGCTTAACAGATGTGGCTGTGTGTGGGAGGGGTGAAGCACATACCTAACAGGGAGTCCTGGGCAGCTGACTCTAGGTGTACCCCAAGGATAATGATCCCTGCTCCTTGTGTACTTGGACCCGAATGGTCCCTGTATCTTCTATGTGACTGAGACAGTTCCAGTTCCCCGCCCTAGCACCTGTCTCTGGAATGGGTGCTTGCTTTCTCAGGGTTCATGGTGTGGTCTGCATCCTCCTTTATATCCCTGTGACCATCTCCCCCTTACTGCCACCCCGTGAGAAAGACTGGACAGAGGGGTTGCAGGAGAAGTGAATGAGGGTTAGTGACACAGATTCCCAGGAGGCTACATGAGTGGGCCTCGGCTGCGGGAGGGTTGAGGTTTTTGAAGCTGAAAGCCAGGCTCTTTGCAGAATAAGGGTTGGTGGTCAAGTTATCAGGGGCGGTATCTCCTTTCCACCTTAACTGTATCTGCCCATGTAGGATGCTGGGGAAGAGGATCTGGAGGGCTGGGGGTTGAAGACAAATGGGTAGAATTGAATAGGTCAGGGAAAGTCCCCAGGGAAAGGAATCTTTGACACAGACCTGGCATAGGTGAGGAAGAGAGCTGTGGAGAGGTCCGCTGAACTGGAGGGAAGGGTCAATGTGGATTGCACGACCTGAGGTGAGTGTACTGGATTTGGGCAGCGTCAGCAAAGAGTCTCGTGTGACTGAAGTGAGCAAAAGCAAGAGGAGCAGAAGGTAAGGTCAAAGGCTATGCATTTTACAACATGGTGAAGGTTTGGCTTTTCCTCTAAGTCGGGAGGAAGCCATGGGAGTGTTGGGAGCAGAGGAGGGACATCACTGTCAGGATTTAAGAGGATACCTTAGATTTCCTAGTGTGGAATAGGGTGTAGGTACATGGGACATAGACCAAGCAGGAGGAGCCTACTACAGCAGCCCAGGTGACTGGCACTGGTGTTGGTTCCGTTGATAGACTGGTAGTGAAAACCTAGATTTGGCATTTTAAAAAATGGTGCTAGAGATGGGGGCCCATATGTTTGCCAGGAAGTGATTCACCACTAAGCTGCACCTAATCATTCTTTAAAAGACAAGGTCACACTTGTAGCCTAGGCTGGCCTTGAATTCAGTGATCCTCCTGCCTCAGCCTGCTGAGTGCTGGAATTACCATATACTGCTTGGGAAATGCTTTGGATAGATAACCTACAGGGTTTGCTAAATAATGAGACTCAAAAGCAAGACCAGGGCACAGCTGATGCCTAAAAATGGGCAGCTAGGATGGAGTCCTGAGATTATTTGTCACCTTGAACTTTCAGGTGGGAGAAAAAGTTCTACCTTATTTAAACCTTCATCATTTCATTATCCTTCTGCTACTTGTAGCTGAACATATTCCTTTCATGACTCTGGACACAGACTGGAGGAGCAGAGAGACTACAAGGGGCCAAGGGCCAAGGGATGGCCTTCCTGTTACGGGTATTGTGAAGGCTAGAGAAAAGCATCCCCTGAAGCCGGCACAAGGCAGACAGTAAGTCCTAATAAGTAAGACAAAAAGGGTGATGTGTGAATGAACATGCTAGCAGAATCTATTCCATCCCCATAGGAGTAAGATCTCAAAGGGAGAATGAAAGAAATAGATGGGAGAACACTCTGGGCAGAGGAGATGGTCTCAGCAGAGATGGGGAAAGAAAGTGGGGAGAGGAAACCACTGTGGGGTGTAAAGTGTCAAAATGAGCAAGAAGGGCAGCATTATCCTGACTCTTATCCACTGGTTGCATGCTGTCAGGGCCAATGTCTGCTGAGTGCAAGTTAGAAAACGCTAATCCTTCAGAGACTTCTATTTTCTATGTTGTGATTGATTTTTTTCCAGTGGTGCCAAGTCCTGAAGAACACCAATGCTCAGTTGGGAACTTTAAGGAACAATCAAGAGCGGTTTTGGCTAGTTGCGCTGCTCACAAAAAGGCTGGGAGGTATTTGTGTGTGTGTGTGGGGGGGGGGAGTGCAGGACACATCCAGTGACTGATGGCAGGGCTGTTTTACTTTGGTCTCACACTACGGTACAATCTAGGCTTTTAGGGGCTCTGGAAATTTGCGGGGTCATGGGGAGTCGTGGAAGGATAAGGAGAAAGTAAACCCATTCCCAGAGGCCTAGTCATTTTATTGGCTGCCTGAATTCTGATTCTATGCTCAACCCCTCAGTAGCTCAGGCTGTCCACGCACCTTCTTCCACTCTAACCTACGTATTGGCCACTTACGCTTTCCTTCACACCACCAACACTACCATCCTTGGCTCTGCTTTCCCATTTTGCCTCTAGAGTCTTCATCCGGCTACATTCTCCCGTTTAGGCATTGGTTAATACCACACTGGCACTGCCCGGAGACTCACAGCCTTCACCCTGGCTCCCCACCTTCACTCCCACCTTCATTCTTTACATGCCCAAGGGTTCGTCTCCCTTACAGTCCCGCCTCCGTGTTTGCTCACACAATATCTTCCAGCCTCCTTTTGGTCTCTGTATTGGCTAGATTCACTCTGTTACCGCCCCTTGAAGCCACAGTGCACTCTCACAAGACTCTCCATTGGCTCACTGCTATCATTATCGTCATCCTGCCTCTACATCATTCGCGTGCAGTTCTCCATTGGCTGTTCTTTTTATCTTTCTTACGTCTCACCGCCTACGCAACCTGCGGATCTCCCACTTTTTGGACCTGTGGGTTCGCTCCCCGCTGCCCCCATCGCTTGTATCCATTCCATCTTCCCGCTGCCCACCATGCCGCTCGTGTTTAGGCTCTCCCCACTAACTGCCACACTTCTGCTAGCTACGTCTTCGCTCCCGCATTAACCCGACTCCGGCCTTTCCATTGATTCGGCGATCATCCCGCCTCCCACACCGCCCACGCTCGGGCGTCCTCATTGGCCGCTAGCTTCTCCTGCTCGGCAGTCACTGCCCACGTCACCCCCGCGTGGCTGTCCATTGGCTGTTGGCTGTACCTGTCTTCATCTCGCCGCCTACGCTCCGCTGGAGCCCCACCCCCTCGCCCTGGCCTTCCCATTGGCTGCCCGCCTTTTCAGGCCCTGCCTCCGCCGGTCCCACCGCCGGTGCCGTCGGTGCCGCCGCCGCCGCCGCCGATATGGCGCGCACGGCCCCT